AACAACCCACTCTGCTACTTAACTGACCAGATCAATATCCCAGGAGTTTAATTGACTTGGCGCTATACTCTTTAATTTTTTTGAGCAGTGTATATTATAATTATTACCTTCATATGGCTTATATAGTTATTACACTTGAACTCCTCTCTCTGAGCAGGGGGCTGGGGGGTGTGTGAATGGAAAACTTTTCTCTCAGGTTGGGGAGGTACTAAACTGAGTCTTTGCCCTGGGTGAAAGAATGTCTAGCTTCGCCACTGGTGGTAGAAATACTGCTACTGTGGAATTAATACAAAATCAGGCGTTTGGATGAATGCCCGAGCAGGCAAAGTTCAGTCTAAACCTGTGAAAGGAACTGCAATGCACTAACAAAATCCTGCTTGCACTTTTTTTGGTGCATTTTAGTGCATATTAAGAAGCTAACACAGTGAAACAGTGTGAGTGGACACTTAATGTAGCCCTCAACCATAATCTACCCCTATACTTTTCTCTTAAAATGTGAGTCTAGGCAAAATGTAGTTTTTTTGGGATAAAGTTGGGAAGCTCCTTTAGAGGCCAAGATTTTGACAATATCACAAAGATCTCTCTTTAATTGCTGGCTTGGCTTGTTGATGGAGGTGGTTTTCCATTAGACATTGGATAGAGGGAGGCATTTATGGACAGCTACCTAGGAGCTTGGATTATATCTCCCCTATTCCCTCAGATGAGGTAATTGGGGATATTGTTTTGTCAATTGGAGTTTGTATAATCCTTTCTCATATATTTGGGCTCTCTTTGTCTGCTGGTTCCATTCCATATATGAAGGATATGGGAGTCTATCTTCCTCATCTGCCTCCAATATTATGAGATGCCCATGTGACCACTTATGTCCACCTGATTGCTCATACCATCGAATGTCGGAAAATGCAATTTTATTTTGAACGGCAGTGCTTTTGAGATGTATCTGATATATATAAATTGTTCAACTGCTATTGTAGACACCTCTGGTTTTCATGCCCCCTGAAGAAGATCATGAATTGAAATGAATGAAAAGCATCGGGACATTCTGGGAACACTGTATTGCTGTAACCCTATAAGGGATTGTATTTATGGAACATTTATCAGAGCTACTAGTATGATTTTAAGTTGTAATGTATTTTTATTAATAATAATGTACAATCCAGTATATATTAAAAAAAGTCTTATGAATACATGTGTGAAGTCACATTAGCTGCAGTAAAGTCCCAAAAGGGGTCAATTTTTCTTGTATCTATATTGGGGACGAGCAGCCAGATACTTGATCTTTTTATTGATATACCATAAAGGTATGAGAATGCAAAATATTTATTTAAAATGTATTAAAAATGGAAAAAAAAACTATAAAAAATATGAGTTACTGTAATTTAAAGTGGTAAACTGCAGGAATGTCACAGGTATGACGTTCCTGCAGAGTGCATGCTTTAAAACAGAGAGAATATCTCCAAAATTGTGCACATTTAGGAGATATTCATTTTACCTACAGTTAAGCTTTACTATAAGCTTACCTGTAAAAAAGTTAAAAAAAAACAAGTTTACTACCACATTAAAGAGTCTACATTGAAAGTACAGCCCCTGCTGACACCACTGCGAAGTTTTGACCAGGAGGACTTCTTGGCTTTGAACCATAAAATAAGCACACAGTTTACTGTGAGTAAATATTCTGATTGTATTGAGGTCAGAATTAGAGATGAGCGAAGTATTCAAAAATTCGATTCGGCTGATTCGGCGAATTCGAGGAATAAATTCGATTCGATGCGAATATATTCGCTACGAATTTAACTTATAAAAGGGTGTTTCTAGGCTTCAGAGAGCCTTCATATTAGTGCAGAACACTGTACCTTTAATTTAAATGCCCTTGGAGTCTGCTGGGGAAGAGAAATAATACTGTCAGTCAGTATGACATGCAGATGAGTGCCGTCGATCTTAGAATCACCGCACACCTCACTCATTTGGGCAGTCACGGGGCCAAAACCAGAGTGTGGAGCCACAGTGTGGCGGTGGAGGCAGCAGCAATGGGAGGCCATACAGCACCCTATGACAAAAATAGAACCCACCAGCAGTGTGAGGAGACCTGAAAGTGGCACATGGCAGAGTGTGGCGATGGAGACAGCAGCAATGGGAGGCCGTACAGGGACCGATGACACACTCTGGACCTGGCAGCAGCATTAGGAGGCGGTACAGGGGCCCATGGCAGATTACGGGCCTGGCAGCAGCAATGGGAGGCCCTGTAATCTGCCAGCACCCTATGACAAAATGGAACACACCAGCAGTGTGAGGAGACCTGAAAGTGGCACATGGCAGAGTGTGGCGATGGAGACAGCAGCAATGGGGCCGTACAGGGACCCATGAGAGACTCTGGACCTGGCAGCAGCATGAGGAGGTGGTACGGGGGCCCATGGCAGATTACGGGCCTGGCAGCAGCAATGGGAGGCCCGTAATCTGCCAGCACCCTATGACAAAAAATGGAACACACCAGCAGTGTGAGGAGACCTGAAAGTGGCACATGTTTGGGGCATGATTCATGGCGGATTTAGTCAGTTGTGTCAGGAACTGGTGGTTTGAAATCCAGACTAATCCACGCCTGATTCATTTTCACAAACGTGAGTCTCTCCACACTTTGGGTGGACAGTCGTTTCCTCCGCGGAGTTACAATACCTCCTGCCGCACTAAAACACGCGCTCCGATGCCACGCTACTGGCCGGGCATTGCCCTTTCAAGGGCAAATTCAGCTAGTTGGGGCCAAGGTCAAGTTTCGTTGCCCAGTAGTCAAGGGGATTGTCTACCTCGGTTGGCAGGGTGCTGTCCAAGTAGGCCCAAGCCTGTTGTTTGAGGTCCTGCTCCAGGTCCACCTGATGCTGCTGCTGCTGCTGCGGTGGTTAGTAGTTTCCTCACTGCGCTGGTGAAGAAAGCTACTCATCATCGAATGCAGACTGAGGCAGCCGCTGCTGGTGGAGCTGCCACTGCTCCTACCACCCCCACCCCTCCCCTGCTGCCATGGCAGCGGAACGCGAGCGCACAGGGCCCACAGTGTCTGAGGATGGACGTTGGCGCAGAAAGGCAGAGACCAGCTGACTACATAGGTGGTTTTTATAGTACGTTATTTTGGCCTCCCTCTCAGCAGGTGTGAAAAAGGCCACCATTTTGGAACGGTAGCGAGGGTCCAACAAGGTGGACAGCCAAAAGTCATCCCTCTGTCTGATGGTTATTATCCGGCTGTCGCTACGCAAGCAACCGAGCATGCTATGGGCCATTTGTGCCAAGGAATGCGAGGGGACTCCCTGCCTCCATCTCCACAGCATACTGCCACGGTGCGTCTGGGTCCTCTGTCTCCTCCTCCTCCTCCTCTACCAGATGCTCCTGCTCCTCCACTCCTGTCCGCTGAGTGGAAAAACCACCCATTTCACTCAATAATTCCTGAGCACCAATGTCCAGATTACGGGCCTGGCAGCAGCAATGGGAGGCCCGTAATCTGCCAGCACCCTATGACAAAAAATGGAACACACCAGCAGTGTGAGGAGACCTGAAAGTGGCACATGGCAGAGTGTGGCGATGGAGACAGTGCGGGAGGCCGTCTACCCATGAGACACTGTGGACCTGGCAGCAGCATGAAGAGGCGGTACAGGGGCCCATGGCAGATTACAGGCCTGGCAAGCAGAGGAATGGGAGGCCCGTAATCTGCCAGCTCACCCTATGACGTGGCCTCCTGGAAACACCAGCAGTGTCAGGAGCTGCCAAAGTGGCACATGGCAACATGGCTGTGGAAATCGATGGAGACAGCAGCGCAATGGGAGGCCGTACAGGGACCCATGAGACACTGTGGACCTGGCAGCAGCATGAGGAGGCGGTACAGGGGCCCATGGCAGATTACGGGCCTGGCAGCAGCAATGGGAGGCCCGTAATCTGCCAGCACCCTATGACAAAAAATGGAACACACCAGCAGTGTGAGGAGACCTGAAAGTGGCACATGGCAGAGTGTGGCGATGGAGACAGCAGCAATGGGAGGCCGTACAGGGACCCATGAGAGACTCTCTGGACCTGGCAGCAGCATGAGGAGGCGGTACAGGGGCCCATGGCAGATTACGGGCCTGGCAGCAGCAATGGGAGGCCCGTAATCTGCCAGCACCCTATGACAAAAAATGGAACACACCAGCAGTGTGAGGAGACCTGAAAGTGGCACATGGCAGAGTGTGGCGATGGAGACAGCAGCAATGGGAGGCCGTACAGGGACCCATGAGACACTCTGGACCTGGCAGCAGCATGAGGAGGCGGTACAGGGGCCCATGGCAGATTACGGGCCTGGCAGCAGCAATGGGAGGCCCGTAATCTGCCAGCACCCTATGACAAAAAATGGAACACACCAGCAGTGTGAGGAGACCTGAAAGTGGCACATGGCAGAGTGTGGCGATGGAGACAGCAGCAATGGGAGGCCGTACAGGGACCCATGAGAGACTCTGGACCTGGCAGCAGCATGAGGAGGCGGTACAGGGGCCCATGGCAGATTACGGGCCTGGCAGCAGCAATGGGAGGCCCGTAATCTGCCAGCACCCTATGACAAAAAATGGAAACACACCAGCAGTGTGAGGAGACCTGAAAGTGGCACATGGCGATGTGGCGATGGAGACAGCAGCAATGGGAGGCCGTACAGGGACCCATGAGACACTGTGGACCTGGCAGCAGCATGAGGAGGAGCGGTACAGGGGCCCATGGCAGATTAGGGGCCTGGCAGCAGCAATGGGAGGCCCGTAATCTGCCAGCACCCTATGACAAAAAATGGAAACACACCAGCAGTGTGAGGAGACCTGAAAGTGGCACATGGCAGAGTGTGGCGAGTGTGGCGATGGAGACAGCAGCAATGGGAGGCCGTACAGGGACCCATGAGAGACTCTGGACCTGGCAGCAGCATGAGGAGGCGGTACAGGGGCCCATGGCAGATTACGGGCCTGGCAGCAGCAATGGGAGGCCCGTAATCTGCCAGCACCCTATGACAAAAAATGGAACACACCAGCAGTGTGAGGAGACCTGAAAGTGGCACATGGCAGAGTGTGGCGATGGAGACAGCAGCAATGGGAGGCCGTACAGGGACCCATGAGACACTCTGGACCTGGCAGCAGCATGAGGAGGCGGTACAGGGGGGCCCATGGCAGATTACGGGCCTGGCAGCAGCAATGGGAGGCCCGTAATCTGCCAGCACCCTATGACAAAAAATGGAACACACCAGCAGTGTGAGGAGACCTGAAAGTGGCACATGGCAGAGTGTGGCGATGGAGACAGCAGCAATGGGAGGCCGTACAACCCATGTGGAGACTCATGGCAGATTAGCCTGGCAGCAGCATGAGACACTCTGTGGACCTGGCAGCAGTGTGAGGAGACCTGTAAAGTGGCCATGGCAGAGTGTGGCGATGGACAGCAGCAATGGGAGGCCGTACAGGGACCCATGAGACTCTGTGGACCTGGCAGCAGCATGAGGAGGCGGTACAGGGGCCCATGGCAGATTACGGGCCTGGCAGCAGCAATGGGAGGCCCGTAATCTGCCAGCACCCTATGACAAAAAATGGAACACACCAGCAGTGTGAGGAGACCTGAAAGTGGCACATGGCAGAGTGTGGCGATGGAGACAGCAGCAATGGGAGGCCGTACAGGGACCCATGAGACACTCTGGACCTGGCAGCAGCATGAGGAGGCGGTACAGGGGCCCATGGCAGATTACGGGCCTGGCAGCAGCAATGGGAGGCCCGTAATCTGCCAGCACCCTATGACAAAAAATGGAACACACCAGCAGTGTGAGGAGACCTGAAATGGCACATGTTTGGGGCATGATTCATGGCGGATTTAGTCAGTTGTGTCAGGAACTGGTGGTTTGAAATCCAGACTAATCCACGCCTGATTCATTTTCACAAACGTGAGTCTCTCCACACTTTGGGTGGACAGTCGTGTCCTCCGCGGAGTTACAATACCTCCTGCCGCACAAACACACGCGCGCTCCGATGCCACGCTACTGGCCGGGCATGACAGCCTTTCAAGGGCAAATTCAGCTAGTTGGGGCCAAAGGTCAAGTTTCGTTGCCCAGTAGTCAAGGGGATTGTCTACCTCGGTTGGCAGGGTGCTGTCCAAGTAGGCCCAAGCCTGTTGTTTGAGGTCCTGCTCCAGGTCCACCTGATGCTGCTGCTGCTGCTGCGGCTGGTTAGTAGTTTCCTCACTGCGCTGGTGAAGAAAGCTACTCATCATCGACTGCAGACTGAGGCAGCCGCTGCTGGTGGAGCTGCCACTGCTCCTACCACCCCACCCCTCCCCTGCTGCCATGGCAGCGGAACGCGAGCGCACAGGGCCCACAGTGTCTGAGGATGGACGTTGGCGCAGAAAGGCAGAGACCAACTGACTACATAGGTGGTTTTTATAGTACGTTATTTTGGCCTCCCTCTCAGCAGGTGTGAAAAAGGCCACCATTTTTGAACGGTAGCGAGGGTCCAACAAGGTGGACAGCCAAAAGTCATCCCTCTGTCTGATGGTTATTATTCGGCTGTCGCTACGCAAGCAACCGAGCATGCTATGGGCCATTTGTGCCAAGGAATGCGAGGGACTCCCTGCCTCCATCTCCACAGCATACTGCCACGGTGCGTCTGGGTCCTCTGTCTCCTCCTCCTCCTCCTCTACCAGATGCTCCTGCTCCTCCACTCCTGTCCGCTGAGTGGAAAAACCACCCATTTCACTCAATAATTCCTGAGCACAAATGTCCTCCTACCTACCTCCTCCTTCTTATTCCTGTCCTGCCCCCACAGGGGTCATGTGCGCGTTGAGATCTGTGCGCCACGTCTACGCGCACCCTGACCAGCCATTGTTAACAGCATTTGTTCCAGGACGTGCAACAGAGGAATGACGTCGTTCATCCCATAGTCCTGCCGACTCACGAATAGCGTGGCCTCCTCAAAGGGCCTGAGCAAGCGGCAGGTGTCACGCATGAGCTGCCAATGGCTGACATCGAAGTTACACAGGGGAGTACCTTTATCCGCTTGTAACATCAGGAAATCGGTGATGGCCTTTCGCTGTTCGTAAAGGCGGTCTAACATGTGTAGGGTTGAATTCCACCTTGTTGCAACGTCGCAGATCAGGCGATGCTGTGGAATTCCGTTCTGCCGCTGCAGCTCAAGGAGGGTGTGCTTTGCGGTGTAGGAATGGCTGAAATGCATGCAAAGTTTACGTGACATTTTAAGGATGTCTTGCAGTGGGATGGTGGATTTTAGGACCGCTTGACAACCAGATTGAACACGTGAGCCATGCATGGCGCATGGCACAACCTTCCTTGACGCAGAGCAGACACCATGTTCTTTCCGTTGTCGGTCAACATGGTTCCGATTTTCAGTTTGCGCGGAGACAGCCATCTGTCGATTTCTCTGTTCATTACACTCAGAAGTTCCTCCCCTGTGTGACTACGTTCGCCAAGGCATACCAGGTGCAGCACAGCGTGACACCGTTGCGCCCTGCACATGTGATATGCCGGTCGGGTAATGGGACTTGGCACGGGGGGTGGCGGCTGAGGACACGGCGGAAGAAGAGGTGGTAGAGGCGGACATCTTTTGTGGACCAAGGACGTGCAAACGTGGAGGCAAAAGCGGCGTGACCTGTCCAAGTTGCTGGTGCGGCTGTGCCGGCACCACGTTCACCCAGTGGGCCGTAAATGACATGTACTGTCCCTGACCGTAGTTACAGCTCCACACGTCGGCGCTGCCGTGCACTTTGGCAGAGACCGACATGCTCAAAGACTGGCCCACCATCTCTTCTACATGTGAATGCAGGGCTGGCACTGCCTTTTTGGCGAAGAAATGACGGCTTGGCACTCTCCACCGCGGCGCGGGCACAAGCCATCATTTCTCGGAAAGGTGCTGAGTCCACCACTTGGAAAGGGAGGGACTGCAGCACCAGCAACTTGGACAGGAGGACGTTCAGCTTTTGCACCGTCGGGTGCGTGCTCGCAAACTGTTGTCTCTTGGAAACGGATTCCAAGAAAGACTGCTGACGGAATCCGTGAAGAGGAGTAGCAGGAGAAGGAGCATCTGAACGAGCGGAAGATGCCAACGAGCGACAACTCCCCTCAGCAGAGGTGTTGGAGCCTTGACTGGCTGATAGAGGGCGATTGACGTCGGGTGACGGAGCAAGTAACGGAGCGGGGTGATTGGAGCGGGGGCTGGGGCAGGCAGAACCGCCGTATCTTTATCACGGTTTTCCAGGCCACCAAATGGCGACGCTGCATATGCTGACGCAACGCTGTAGTCCCAACATGGGCCCCCTGGCCACGCTTGACTTTCTGGCCACATAGTCGACATACGGCTACGTTTACTTCCTCGGGCGGCTTGACGAAAAATTGCCACACCGCCGAGTAGGAAACTTTGCCCCGCTACTCCTCACTGGCTGACTGCTACTTCCTCCGTGCACACCGGCACCACTACTGGCCGTGGTGGTAGGCTGCAGTGGAGCTGGTGCTCTACTACCGTGGCCGTTTGCCTCCACTGACACTGCTGCGCGACCCTGCTGCCTCCTGGGCAACCCACCGACTGTTTTGCTCGCTGCCAAGCTGCCACCCTCTTCTCCTGATGATGCGGAAGCAATAGCCTGATGACGACGAGGCTGCCAAAGTGCGATCAGCCTCATCATCATCAATTAGGGTCTCCGCCTCACTACTAGCCCCCTCGGCTGCGTGTGGGTCAGGAGACAGACCTGTCTCTAGACCGGCTACCGAGCCACTCTCCTCGCCAGTACTTCTTCGCCTGGCTGCTGAAGAGGCGGATGTCTCCCCCCGTTCCTGACCGCCCTCTGTTAGCTCTTCCTCACTGTACAGTGGGGCTGAGCCCACAGCATGCGATACTTCGCTTGGTGAGGGAACACCAAAGGACAGGGGCAGGTAGAGGACACGTGATTTCAGTGGGCTTGCTCCCGGGCCATGCCAACTAACGGTTGTGTCTGACGTACCCACCGACCGTTGGCTGTAGGTGTCAGAGGTGACCTGGGAAGAGGAAGACGACCGAGCCAACCAATCGATGACGGCAGGGTTGTCGGTGGAGACACGACCGCTGGATGACACCGGGAGCACTGGCCTCTGGCAGCTGCGACTAGTGCTGCCTCGACCCCCTTCCTCTGCTGCCACGTCTGCTCGCTCCTAAAACATTGCCTCCTCTGCCACTCCTCTGCATGTTGTCTGACATACTCTTTAATTCAAACGATTCTGTGTCCCTGAAACAATTCTGTGTCCCTGAGTAACAATTCTGTGTCTGTCCTGAGTAACAATTCTGTGTCCCTGAGTAAACAATTCTGTGTCCCTGAGTAACAATTCTGTGTCCCTCAGTAACAATTCTGTGTCCCTGTAACCTGTGTCCCTAGTAACAATTCTGTGTCTGTCCCTGAGTAACAATTCTGTGTCTGTCCCTCAGTAACAATTCTGTGTCCCTCAGTAACAATTCTGTGTCCCTGAGTAACAATTCTGTGTGTCCCTGAGTAACAATTCTGTGTCCCTCAGTAACAATTCTGTGTCCCTGAGTAACAATTCTGTGTCCCTGTAACAATTACTGTGTCCCTCAGTAACAATTCTGTGTCCCTCAGTAACAATTCTGTGTCTGTCCCTGAGTAACAATTCTGTGTCCCTCAGTAACAAGTAACAATTCTGTGTCCCTCAGTAACAATTCTGTGTCCCTGAGTAACAATTCTGTGTCCCTCAGTAACAATTCTGTGTGTCCCTCAGTAACAATTCTGTGTCCCTGAGTAACAATTCTGTGTCCCTCAGTAACAATTCTGTGTCCCTGAGTAACAATTCTGTGTCCCTCAGTAACAATTCTGTGTCTGTCCCTGAGTAACAATTCTGTGTCCCTCAGTAACAATTCTGTGTCCCTCAGTAACAATTCTGTGTCCCTCAGTAACAATTCTGTGTCTGTCCCTGAGTAACAATTCTGTGTCCCTCAGTAACAATTCTGTGTCCCTCAGTAACAATTCTGTGTCTGTCCTCTGAGTAACAATTCTGTGTCCCTCAGTAACAATTCTGTGTCCCTGAGTAACAATTCTGTGTCCCTCAGTAACAATTCTGTTCCCTGAGTAACAATTCTGTGTCTGTCCCTGAGTAACAATTCTGTGTCCCTGAGTAACAATTCTGTGTCCCCTCAGTAACAATTCTGTGTCCCTGAGTAACAATTCTGTGTCTGTCCCTGAGTAACAATTCTGTGTCCCTCAGTAACAATTCTGTGTCTGTCCCTGAGTAAACAATTCTGTGTCCCTCAGTAACAATTCTGTGTCCCAGAGTAACAATTCTGTGTCCCTCTGAGTAACAATTCTGTGTCCCTCAGTAACAATTCTGTGTGTCCCTAAGTAACAATTCTGTGTCCCTGAGTAACAATTCTGTGTCCTGAGTAACAATTCTGTGTCCCTCAGTAACAATTCTGTGGTGTCCCTCAGTAACAATTCTGTGTCCCTCAGTAACAATTCTGTGTCCCCTGAGTAACAATTCTGTGTCCCTGCAGTAACAATTCTGTGTCAATTCTGTGTCCCTCAGTAACAATCTCTGTCTGTCCCTAAGTAACAATTCTGTGTCCTGAGTAACAATTCTGTGTGTCCCCCTGAGTAACAATTCTGTGTCCCCGAGTAACAATTCTGTGTCCCTCAGTAACAATTCTGTGTCCCTCAGTAACAGTTCTGTGGCT